AATTAAGCCGCGATTTTCCGGGCTCGACGAGACAATGCCAAGTAAGACATGAAATGAAACACAACATACATGGCCAACAAGATGATCAAGTCCCAGGCGTAAAAATCCGCGTGGAAAGAGTACATTTCCAGTACTTGTGCTCCGGTGCTAATGCAGTACTCGGTCTGGACTTCCGCTGTGCAAGCTGTATTATAAAGGTGGGCGAGACAACAGAGAAAGGAATAAATATTCAATTTCAATCATCTTCAGAATTTAGCAAACACCATTGATTGATATAAAAGCTTCATTAGCTGCTTCATTGTCAGCATTCACAAGGTTCAAAATATTTTGCCCCACCCATCATAATGAGGGATTGGCATCATAATTATTTTTGAACAAAAAATCACTGCATATAATGCAATTACAGTGAGACCCCCACATGCAGACACCACAACCTGTGGACAATTCGACATACATACACTTATTTTCTCATAAAAAGTTAATAAAAATGGCACAACATGAGGACACTGACTCAACATAGGGACATTTTGTGATAAATTGCAAATAAGTTTCAAGCCAAATTACAATAAGAAACCGATATTTCTAACCCTAAAATTGGTGTAAGAAAAGTTCTTGGGCATTTCTCTTGCCCATTTACCATCCATTTGGCTAATTATCAATTCCCAAATGTCCATATTGTGTCAAAATATATTGATTGAATCAGTTAACATTGGGAGACAATTTTTATTTTCATGGAATTATTTTGTCTATAAAACACCAATTAAAAATTATAAAATGTAAGTCCCAGGGAAAATGAGACTTGACTTAGGGACACTCTTGATGCACCAATTCCATCCACATCTCAGGGTCTCACTGTACTGTGCACAAATTAAAACACAAGGTGTTCAGCATGTTCCCAGATAATTACTGCTTGATTACAGAATCTTTAATGAATCTTTGCAGAGAAATCAAATAAAGCTAACAGATTTTCCTGGTCCTCCAAGATATTTTGATGGTAATTTTCTGTTGAAAAAAAATGGCTGGTGGCAGAATGGCACTCTCCCTAATCAGTCTAAATCCTCAGTCACCATTTAAAAATAAGGAATTCTTCTCCTGAGCCTGTGAACCAAACTCAAGTTTGGTTGAAATTTCCCTTTTCTGTTTTCAATCAAGGATAAAATTGAAGAAGAATCCTTGTTTATTTATTAATTTATTCATTTTTCCAGGTATTGTCCTATAATCATTTGTCTTCTGGGAAATAAAAATAACATACATTTTGACCAATCAATAATCTGTTTGCTCAATTCAAATTGAACTTGAATTGAAACTCAAATCTAAGTTGTTCATGCCAAAACAATGCCACCCATTATAGGGAGACACCTGACAGTAATCATTTTTGGATCAAAAATTAGCACAAAAAATGCATGATGAATTATAAAAAAATAAAAATGGAGAGATCATCTTATACACAGACAAACAAATAATGAGCTGCAATACCCAGAGCTAAAAGATGGTCAAAATCGTCTTGTCTGATTTTTCATGCTATACTCAAAAATATTTGTGCATTTCATCTTTCAATTCTCCACAGAAAAGATTATTTAAAAAAAAAATTCTTTGCCCTTCTTCTTATAGTCAGAGAATAATTTGCAACTGAAAAACTCACTGATGTTTTCAATGCCATCAAACTGCGTCACCATCAGAGCTTCGGTCGAATACCTGAACCAAGACACCCACTGAATCCAGCTCAGATAAGGAGACAAAGAGCTGCGAATTTCAGGAAAAAAACAATTATAATTCAACACACACTGCTCCTCAATTTCTTTTCTCCTTCTCATAAATTCGTGCACACCAAAAATAATTAAAAAAAAATAAACCGTCATGCAAACCCTTCCTAAAAAAAATGCCCCAAAACAGATCTGCTCAAGTTCCAATTATTAATTTTTTCATAACAACCCCTATATGCTTGAAGAATTATTAGATATGCTAATTCCGAAAAATTAGAGAAAACCATTCAAAAAACCACTCACTTCTATTTTCCTCTGAAACTGACCATTGTTCAAAAATACCTATTTTTACATTACAGTACTTTCACAGGGATTTTGAGTACAGAACAAAATTTTCTTTGGACAAGTAGTTTGAGTAGCTTTCTTCTTCATTATTAAATTTATCTCATCAAAGGAGTAGTGAAGTATGGCATATGTGTACACAGTGAGACCCCAAGATGCAGACATAAATGGTGCATCAAGAGTGTCCCTAAATCAAGTTCAATTTTTGCTTAGCCTTATACTGTATAATTTTCATTTGGTGTTTTATGGACAAATTACCATGATTCCATGAAAATAAAAATTTTCTCCAAATTGAAACTGATTCAATCAATATATTTCAACACAATACAAACATTTAGGGAATTGAATACTGATACCT